AAGTCATACCGTGGTAAGAAACCTGATACTAGTGATAATCATTTAGTGAATAACCACGAAAGTCTTAAAATGTTCCACCATTAGCTCAAAATCGTATTAAAACGAAACCAACATTTTAATTTATAACATAACTATAATTATAATACTTGATCAGTGCTAAATATAGCATTAGCGCTTAGCGTACTTAAACGTGAAATTTAACATCAATAAACTAATCAGCTATTTCGCGTTTCGCACCAAACGTTAAATGCTACAAATAATATGTGAAAGTATTTCACGTTATAATTGTTTCAACCAATGACAAGATTGAATGAAAGCACTGATAGATTGATGGTATGGCATTGAAATATTGTAAAAATATTTCTGCCATTTCGAGTACTCTTACCTCAGTTGGTCCCATAGAGACTATTGATTCTTACCAGAGACCGGATCGATTGGCATAAAAAAAAGTTTTGTAAAAATTGCCTTTTATCTGGCTAACTGTACCATTTTTTCAAAATCTGTGAATGCCAATCAAAATATCTTCAAAATTCATGGATAGTCTTCTGGAACCGTTTTCCTGAAATTACAACGATTAAGGTAGCGGGCCTTGCTGCCCCGTCTCAAATTTACACCCTGTATATTATATTAATCATCTCTATAGCGCAGCGCATGATACGCTTCGTTAAGTTGGTTTATGTATATCATATTCGTACTTAGGCGCTGGAAGAACTTCTGTGGCAAGCTGGTGAACTTCTCGACCGATTGGATGACCTCCAAGAAGACGTCGCACGCGCTGACTTTGCCGATGATGTCACGGGTGCGCGTAGAGCAATTGACGCGCACGCCGATATAAGCAAGCGCTTAGCAAAAGTACCTGTGGACGAACTTGAGGCACAAGGTAAACTTTCAGGAGTTCTCCAATTTGCTGATTTCCCTGAAAAAATGAAGTCCTTTACTGGGTGAATCTTTATATCACGGGATAGTGCTACATGTCTTAATGTATTTCAATGGAGACGAGGTAAGGTGAATTGTTTATTGAATTGAAGTGCAGAGTACGGGTTTTGAAAGTGACAGGCATTTTTGCAAGCCGTTATTTATGCCTGGCATAATCTATAATTCTAAAATTCTTAATATATCTAAAATACATCTAGCTCGATAAAAAATTTGAACGTTTGTTTTAATAAATAAACTGCTAGTATGACTGAGTTGAACAAATCGATACATTCAATTAATCAATCAATTTGTAGTTGCCATTACAATTGGCCATCACTTTCACATGAACTAATTGTCGTTTAGATTTCGATAATTTAATTTGCCACTACCATGAATTCATTTACTGTGGCCATTTAAAGATGCACCTAACAATAACTCATGTATAGAAACAGACTTCATATACCTCACTGAATCTCGAACAGTCGCGTTTGTTGCTGTAGGCATTGCGGAGCCCCTCTCGTCACCTGTGTGTTTGTTGTGTGATACAATGCGGGACCTAAATCGTCACGTTCAAATCGTATTGTATTCAATCTTCTCCTTAGGTGCAATTTAGCAAAAGTGCAAGTTACCAGAACTGGACCGAGAAAGATAGAGATAGACACACATTAGAGATATGAATGAAAAAATTATCATTAAAATGCGAAAATTATATTAAAATATAGTAATGATCGCATTATAAATATTTAGTGTGAAACAACGTGCAATGTCGCTGCAGAGTGTTGTAATAAAAAAATGAAAATGTATTCGGCGCTTTTATTTGTATTTAAAGATCCGTTCATTCGATATTAAGTTACTGACGTGACTTGGTACATGCGAGACTTCCTTTCTTGTTGAGCGAGAAAAAACCACTTTATTTATACCGTCCGTTTGCTAGTTAATAAATTTTCTATTAGTTGAAACTGAAAAGAATGCGGCTTGGAATTCCGACGGTTGTAGCGCACATATATAACGTTTCCTTGATTTTGTAAATTTAGAGGCGTCCAAAAGTGTAAAGCGTATTTTCTTTGCAATATTGATTATCATAGTTTAGTGCCGATAGCGTTGGCCAGTTAATGAGTGTTACTTATGCTACATAGCCACGCCTGAGTGGTTCGATTACTCGTTACCTGCCGACGCGGTGGTCAATGAGCGCACTGCATTAGTGGTTTCAGTCGAATTCCACGAGCCGGTTGCGTTCCACGATCACAGTCGCGCTGAAAAAGGAGACTGTCGTCGCCGTGTTGTCGTATGCCATGTGTATTGACTGCTTTCGGCCGTCGCGAAGCGATGGTGCGCTCGAGTCTATTAATTATAATTATTTGCTTACGAGGAATGGAGCGTTAGAATGGAGAGTTTGATGTGTGGCGTCTGTTGCGTCGTAGGGCGTAGGGCGTAACGATGCAGTGTCGTTGGAAATGGTAAGAGTGCGCGTCGTGTTGGCCAGGTGAACGAGTTGTGCAGCGGCTGCAGGCGGCGGAGGCGGCGTGCGCGGAGGCGAGCGTGAGTGGCGGCGAGGGCGCAGCGTTCCACTGCGGATCCCCGACTGCCGTCCGCGCGCAGCTCTCCGCCGTCCGTTCGGCGCACGCGCACGCGCACAAACTCTGGCAACACAAAAAGATGCAACTCGATCAGTGCTTCCAGCTCCGGCTCTTCGAACAGGACTGCGAGAAGGTGCGGTACGAAGCGCGGGAGGGTCGGCACGGCGTTCTTCCTTTCAAATACCAAAGTGACCGTGGCTTGTTTTATAATATGACGCAGAAAATAAATGCGATTTGCATGACTCGCGCAGTTGTCTCGGGAGAGACATTACCCTTATGTTATGTATTAGTATGCAGCCGACGATTTATCCGATCGGTAAGCGCGTTCAATCGTACTCGGCTTCGACTACGACTATGACGTCCACATATTCCGCACACCCATCGCTCTAGTGCCGTCTTTCCGAGTGCGTTTTCGTTACGTGGCCGTTACAATAATGCAATTTACATCAGATGCTGGAATGGATCGTCAATCATCGGACGGCGTTTCTCGCTACCTACGTTGAGATCGGCCGGTCGTGCGCTGCCGCCAAACGGTTGCAGGAGGAGCACGCTAGGTAAATATATACTACTATAGCGTGTCGCACCCAATGGCCGGAAAGCGAATGAATATAACTTCATTTATTACAATACAATGAAAACAAATGTAAATAAATATATAATAGTATTAAAGTAATTACAAAAGAACGTAAATTATACAATCTTCATAGTAAAGCTATATATTTTATCTACACACATATCATAAACCCACTATGATGTGTTCGAAAACCGCAAATTACAACCAGCATAAAGATAACAGTTTTGTTAGAACAAATTTCTTATTTGTGAAAATGTTATTATTCCTTCATAGCTGTACAGTCAACTACCTAGCTGTAGCTAGCTGGCTATACATGAGTGGTCAGGGAAAGCTGTACTATCACTAACAACCCTAGTTGCCTACCTAACAGCCTAGCCCTAACCATACGCTACGGAATATATACTTATATAAATAGTAGGGGAAGCTTGTCGGTCAGGTTGTCTGTTTACGTCACGTGCACGTGAACAATAGCTATTACGCTTGTCACATAATTCTTATATTTATGTATTCCTATGTAACCGTTATCGCACTTCCCTGATTCTTTTTTGCAAATTATTTTTCCTTTCCATTTTTACCGTGAATAAGTTTCCTCGTTTTGCAGTGGCACAAACGCAAACCGCGAAGTGCCAGAAACAAAACAAAAAAAACATCAAATTCGATTTTATTATTACATTGAAATTTAGAATATCTCTGAATAACAAAACAATTTGATCCAACCTCAGTTCTAATATCAGTCGAGATGACGTTTTATTCGAAATGAAATTTTTAATATTATCGAATGATGTAGTAGTTGGGGCCGACTCTAGTTTGTCTATGAATTAAATAAAAGCTACGGTTGTGTGACATGCGTGAGAAAAGTTTTTATTTGCAACCATTTCGCCAGTCGTAATATGCGGTTCCTGAACACACCGTAGGAGGTTATAACATGTGTGTAGATAAAGCAGTGTATGTACTCGTAACTGTACACAATTAGGCATTCAAACACTCGTGTGATGTTTTTATGAAACTCGTCTTTAGGCTTGTTTCATAAACCCACTTTCGCATTTTAATGTCTTTCATTATGTAACAGTCACGTAAACTACTGTTAAGAATAACTGCTTTATGTGCAGAGTTCAAAGATTAAATTGCGAGGTATTTGAAAAGAGAAGCTAAATGAGACAAGTCGTAGGACCGCGTTTTGCGGTGCACTGCGATGGCCCGAGGCGGGTTGAGGAAATAGCGAACGAATGTAACTGTTTGTTTGTTTTTGTAAGGTTCGCGGCTGCGTGTACCGGCGGCGGGCGGCCCAGTGTGGCCCGCGTCACCGCCGCCGCTCGGCGCTTGGCCGACAAGGGACACTACGCTCAGGCGCAGATCACGTCTCTGGCCCGTCGCCTAGAACGGGCCTACAAGCGGCTTTCCGCAGGCAAGAACGCTCCGACACGTTCGGTCGTCGCGGTTCGCGGCGCGAGGTATTCGCGCCCGTACCGAGTCCGACTGGGCCTAAGGTATGTCTCGCAGGTCTGGAGGAGCGTTCGGCCGTGCTGTCCCTGTCGGTGGTGTTCCACCACAAGGCTGAGGCGTACGCGGCGGCCGTGGGCGGCTGGGGCGCGCAGTGCGCCGTGGCCCTGCAGCTCGCCACCGGGCAGGGGGGCGCGCCTTGCGGCGACCCGCGCGCGCTGGAGCAGCACGCCCAGCGCCACCGCCAGCTGCTGGAGCACATGTGTCAGGCCTACACGGAGGTAGGTAGAGCCTAGCGGAGCCGGTCTCCCGGCGATCCACTCCGAACGTCCAGTGCCCACTCACCGATTGCGCACTCGTCGGCAGGTCCACTCGACGAGCAAGAAACTCCTGTACCAGCTCGACCACCTCGTGCAAGTGTGCCACCGCACGGACCCTGCCGACGCGGTGAGTCCGCCCCGACCCGGCACCGAGGTCGTTCGCTCCGCGGCTCCCAATCCTCGCTCGGAATACGTTTTGAAGATCGGTCACGGACGGAACGAACGGCCGGAGCGCAAATCTCGCAACAAACACTGTTGCACGAACGCCGACGAAACTTGTTCGAGCGCGCCTTTCGGCCATCGCCGAGGCTCTAACACTACGACAATAACTCGCAGAGCGACGGAACGGGGAGCACGGCAAGCGGCAGCGGCGGAGATCCTGCCGCGGACTACAGCTCTGGTGCGAATCACGTCCTGGCCGTCATTCATCAGATCCTCGGCCACCATCGAGCGCTAGAGGCCAGGTACCACCAGGCGAGGCTCAAACTCCATCAGCGACTCGCCCTGCTCCTATACAAAGAGGATTGCAGACAGGTAATCGACTCGTCACAGGGAGAGACCGAGTGCGGAGCGTCTATTCCGAAGGGATTGAATACGGAGCGTTGAAACAATTTAATTTTTGTTATAATTATTAATACAAAGATCGAACACTCAGAAAAATTCCTTTCTCGAAAATTCTAATTCGATCCGGTCGAAAGGAATTTTTTCTGAGTGTTCGATCTTTGTATTAATAATTATAACAAACTAGAGGAGTAATTTCACAAAAAATAATTGAATGTCAATTCAATTAAAATTTAATTAATTTAATTTTTATTACCTATTTATTTCTGTCCCTGCACCGCTGGATTCGGGGTCGATATAGTCGCAATCGGTCATACGAACGAAGTGATCTCCCTCCCTACATGGTCTCCCTACAACTAGTAAATATGCAATTACCGATTTGATCGCATGTTTTTATTTTTTTAGGTGCTCGACTGGTTGGCGAATCACGGAGAAGTGTTTTTGCAAAAGAACACGGGAATCGGAAGAAATCTCAGTAAAGCTAGAGTTTACCAGAAATCTCATGAACATTTCGAAAATGTCGCGCAGGTGAGTGATATTTGGGTTTGTTCCGGCTCGTGTCGAGCGGTACGCCTAACGGCTGGCCTTAAATTGACGTCCAATTTTTTTTGTGACGAATCATAACATAGATCGTTTGCTCAGAACACGTATACGAATGCGGAGAAATTACTCGCGGCCGCAGAAGAGCTGGCTCGCTCCGGCGAATGCGACCCCGAAGAAGTGTTGAGCGTGGCGCGGGAGTTGGAAGCGCACGTAGCCGCGTTCGCCGCGAGAGTCGATCGCCGCCGGAGGAGACTGGATCTCGCAGTGCTACTATACACGCACGAAAAGGAGGTGAGCCTTATTTCATTTCGCTCCGTGACGGACGACGCGGTCAGAAAGTTCCACGCTGCGTCTACGTCAGGTCGCTTTTTCGCGTTCCCATCGTCTATAATAAACCACCGCGACGTGATCGGTGATCGATGGTTTTGAATAGTGAAAGTCTAAACTTTTCTATGAGAGAAACCCGAGAACCTAAACGGCACAAAGAACGAATTGCACGTTTTTACAACACAAATATGGTTTGTATATTTGCCGTTTTACCCCACATGAGAATCCTGTAGGACATTATACTATGGAAGTAACCAAACTGGTCTTGCAGTACTAACATCGGTAAGCTCGCGTATTTTGCGGACTGCGTATGCAGCGGAGCTTAATCTGCTGGTCAATGAAGATATTATGTGAAAACCATTAAAGTTTACTATCTAAGGTCTTTCGCAAGAAGACTGGTTTATTAACAAGATCTAACTTTCACCATTTATTTCTATGATTGAACTAGGCGATTATATGTTAGGTAATTCAAATTTAATACGCTTTGTGTTCTTGGCATTAAGCAATAAATTGTTAACACTAAACCAATAAACTACATATGACAGGGTATCGTTAATATTGACAAAATTAATGTCTGTCTTAAAAATCAATGATTTGTCCTCAGCAAGCAATACTATTTCGCAAAGGTCCTTAACAAAGAATGGTAGACCATTAATATAAATGCGAAATAAGAAAGGTCCAAGCATTGAGCCCTGCGGTACACCCATTTTACCAGATAACCCAAAGAAGTCACTCGTTAGTGTCTACTTTCTGAATTCTACTGTTGAGAGATATATATATATATTTAGGCTTATATTTCTTACATAAAATTATGAACGGGATGATAGACTGCCCGTGTATTGTTAATAAATTTAGTTTACGATTTTTTACCACGTCCTTTTGCCTTGCCATTTATTCCGAAATATTTCAGCTTCCTAAAAGAGTAATATGTTCCACACAATCAAATGCCTTTGAGAGGTCACAGAAAACACCAATAGCGTTTTATGACCGAGCATCAAAGATGTGTTCTAGTAGTACTACTCCTATATCGTTAGTCGATCTATCACTAGTAAACTCATATTGTTCACTATAAATAATGTGATTCCTGCCGAAATAGGGCTGAACACAGCATAACCTCTTCGAATATTTTACTTAAAACAGGTAGAATGGAAATGAGTTTATATATGCTGGGATCAACTATCCTATCGCTTTAGAATAAAATAATAACCTTGCCGTATTCCATCAAATCTGATACAACAGCTAAATGTGGGTAATTATATTAATTACTTAGTCAATATGCCCCAGAGATCGCCAGTTTTGAATAAGGAGAAGAATTTAATGATTGTGCAGTGTTCATAGCAATATTCGAAAAGAACGATTGGAAAACTTGGGCTACCTCATCTTTAGATTTTATGAGTATTAATTTGCCATCTAATTCTAGAACTATTTCTGCCTGACTCTTTATGTATTATACTCCGAGTAGTTTTGGATTTATTTATCGATTGTCTAATTTTATCGCTGTAAAATGTAACCTCAGCATATATAGTAATACTCATATGTATTTAAATATTTTTTAACTATATAATATATTCCATAAAATTCTAATTAGTATAATGTTTTCATGGCATATAGCTCATACAAACAGACCTACTCTTATGAATGCATACTGTTGCTCAGTCGTTGAATTTGGTCTCCCCGTTGGAAGTTAACATTTTTTTTATAATACATTATCAAATTCATTTTTAATGCAACAAAACGTGCTATATAAAATATTTTGAACCTCTGGTGTACGGGACAGGGAACCGCAAATATTGCAGATATTGTTTTGAAATCTAATGATTCGTTCTGTGGTAATTTCCGTTTCTCTACCCCTCCTTATTTGTAACTGCTATGGTCGATTTAGAAACACTTGCATTTAGGCGGAAATGGATGCTAGTACTACACTACCTATCAATCGTTCATAATAAAATCGATAGTCCAGATATTCTCGAGAAATTTAGCATTCAGGTGCCCTCTCGCATTAGTTGGGATGAGGCTGGGATAGTGACGCCGCGTCGGCGGCTGCGCTTGCTGCAGCGGCCGGCAGTGCGCACCGTTCGCGCTGCGCATGCGCCCTCCGCGCGGGCACTCACGCTCATCGGAGATATGCTCGCTGACCACTATGACATGGACTTATTTGCTGATTCCTTTGGACAAATTCTTAGGAACGCGAACATATTTTTAAATAATGACTTTTTACGTGTAGGAAATTAGATACTAAGTAGGTTAAAGTTTTGACATTTGTAAGTTAAATTGTATCTATAATTTTATTTTATTTTAATTGTATCGCAATTCTTTATCAATAATTTGTAATGTTGCCTAAGCTTGTGGGTGTTTTGGATACGCTCTGTGAGCCCACTCGCAATATTGATTAAATAAATAAATAAATAAATAAATTGATCTGCAGAGAAATTGGTTTATCTCCTTGCTCATTTTGCAATCAAGAGAAGCAATTGGCCATTACGGTCTGATCTTAATCAATTAATTATTAATTGAGATACTGCGTCTGTGTTGCAAAAAAAAATTATCAATGCAAGTAGAAGAGGAGGTAGTAATGTGAGTTGGTTCTAAGAAAATATTGATTAAGTTAACAACTTTTAAATAAATTAATGAGTCATACAGAAGTAGAACAGTTTTCCAATAGGTCTACATTGAAATGTCCACTAACTACTACGTAGTTTTATATACATGGTACTATCTTCCATGGTTAATTTGTACTAGTTGAAATTAGCTGGTGTGGGCCTGTTTACACATTAGAGACAAACTGATCTAATTCTACACATGAAATCTTTGGTGCAGTAAGGGACTGCACTTATTATATTATACTTGGTATTTGCTAATGTGCTTTCTCAAAATGGAACCTAACGATACATTTTTGAACAGTTACTTCAATGGCTGGAAACATTAAGAAGCGGAGGCGGCGTTTGCGCAACAGATGATACGCCAGAAGCGGCAAGACGAGCGCTAGAGCAGTGTGCGCAGCATCGTGCCGCCAGTCTTGACGCCTGCGCCGCTACCATTGCACAGGGCGAAGCTTTGTTACAAGATCTCAGGTGCTTTATTTATCACTATTATCCAAACAGCATAACACATGTGCCTCCAGTACAATTCCACCACGCACAGTCCCTGGCCATTTGGCCCAACTTGCCCTAAAAGTGGTTACTAGGCAAGGTTCCACGAGTTGTCTACTGTCTCACGTTATTAAAAGGAGAAGTTTCTCGGATGTTTTTTTAGCCAATTTGTTTCGATATAAGTGATGACAATAGTGGAAAACTTGAACCAGTCCATCGATTTATAAAAAAACCCCTGCGAAACCGAAAATTAAATCAAAACTTGTGGGTGACAACTAGTAGGAGAGGCCGCTAAATTGTTATTAGATTCATTAGGAACTCCACGTATAAAATTAATCTCTACTGAAGACACAAATACTACCAACAAATGGACGTCGGGTCCGCGCTTAAAACCCAACAAATCATTAAATCGTAAAGAGCTTCAAGCGCGCATCAGTCTTCGTTGGTCAAACATAATGAAGAATAATTGCCCAAGGTTTGAACCTTGCGGCACTCCAGAGCATGAAATAAAAGAATTTGAACTATAACCAACCATTACAATTTAAGAACATGCTATTCAAATATGATTTACACCACTGAAGCAGGGAGTCCCTAACCTCGAAGTGAGCTAATTTATTTACCAATTTGCGATGATTGACTTTATCGAAGGCCTTGGAAAAGTCGGTATATATTGCATTTACTTGTCCAGAATTATCGACTGCCAATGCTACTACAATGATTTGTATCCGTAGACCGTTTCGTAATAAATCGGTTCTGATTCGGTGATGGTTTATTCCTGACATGCCTGAAGATATGACTATATATTCGAAGACTTTTACTATGGTGGGCAATATAGAAATAGGCCTATAATTCGTAACCAAGTCGTTTTTTCCATTTTTGTGAATGGGTATTGTTAATTTTTTTTTGAACTCTATTTCAAAATCCATTTCGAGGAATAAGGTTGCTGATTAATCTTTTTTGTGCATTTGTCAATATTACGTTGAGATTCTTTATATTTTTCAAAAAATAGTATTGACCTTTATTTAACTGCCTCTGTGGCCGAACGGTTACCATGCCGACTGCCACGCAGAGGTCCCAGGTTCGATTCCCGGGCCGGGAGAAATATTTGTATGGCCTACATTTATTTCTCTCGTGAGTTTGGGTGTAATTTGTGGTTGTCTATGTGTGTGTCCATGGCACCCGCGGCACAGGGTTTCCCTAGTGCGGGGCTATGTTGAGTGTGAGCGTTATTATTATTATTATTATTATTTGACTTTCAATGACAGCATCAGTGGCTCTGTAATGTTTTGTCCGTGGGTAATGGAAAAATACAAAATAAAATAAAACTAAATGTCACTTCACGTTTGTAAACATAACCTTACTATCTTTGCACCTTTTAATTTCACTGCCGGTAGACAAAATATCAAATATAAGACAGCTATGGAATACAACAAAATATCAAATATAACACAGCTACGGAATACAGAAAGTGCTTTGTTCATACTTACGAAAATGGTTCAATAAATAATCCAAGCAAGATCTTTGTTCATATTAAATGGTGTCGTGAAGTAAACGTGAGATACCTACTTCAAAGTTTACACTATTTTTGTTGTGAATATCACTTTGAAGTAAGTTGATAAACCTGTATAAAACAATACTTTGTCTTTGTTTTTTCTTTTCACTTTTAGGAATACTGTGAAATTTTCGAGGTAATATTCTATTAGTTTTGTAGCCGACCGGAGATTGGTGAACTGTTTCAAAGTGAAAATTATTGAATATGAGCAAAAACTCAAACGCACAGTCAAGCTGCGCAATATCCGTATATTGAATGAGGTATGAATTCAACTGTTTGATTCGTATGATTGTAAATTTACTTATTGTATACTATATAAAGCTAACACTAATATGTTTTCAGCATCCGAGTGAATCAAAAGACAGTGAATTACAATAATCTCAGTACAGGGTACTAAAAAACCGACTTCAAAAGTACGTGGAATTACATATAATTACCATGTTTTAATGAAATCGGTTACCTGTGAAAACCCCGGTTCATCCCCTAGTTTGCCACTAAAATATAATAAAAATCGGTTCTCACTTTTCAAAGTATATCGAGAGAGAGAGAAACGCCTTGAATTGGAGAATAGCAAAATCAACCATTAAAATAATTGCTGCTTGTGATAAAATTTAGGCGCTGTTTATAAAAATGAATCTTCATGCGTGAACAGCCACCCTTAGAGGTGGATGATTTTGTTCAAAATTAGACAGGACCACTATGGAGATACCCTCTTTCCAACAAAAAATGAATCATGAAAATCGGTCACAAATACCGGAGTTATCGCGTAACATACATACAAAAAAAACGTACAGTCGAATTGAAAACCTCCTTTTTTTGAAGTCTGTTAATAACTGCTATTCCAACCTAGTACCAGCAGCAACAGCAAAAAAAGAAAACATGGAGAGTTTGTGTAGTCCCCAATATGTCTCCGACTTGCACATTACTTGTACAGTTTATTTAGTTATATCATTTTCTTATGCTATGAAGCATTCTTATAACAAAAATCTTGTTGGTTGCATTAAGAAGTATCCAATCTACTTTTTAGATATACGCTGCAAAACAGTGTGAAGTAAAAATGGTTGACAAGAGTACAAATTATAGAATAAGGGAAACAACCAGTGCTAGGACGACAGCTGAAATACTTTCTTCTCGAGAAGTTTCATCAACAGCCACTCCTTCTCTGTTTGGTTCTACTTCCGAAATGGAAGAATGAACTTTACCATGGACAAGGCAAAAACTGTGTTAAAAGTAGAAAACATATTGTTAGAAAGATATTCAGAAAACCTAAGATGTCTCTATGGTTGTCTAAACAATATTAGTTCAAAACAAATTGATTCAGTATAAAGGATAAGTGACTCAACTTGTGTGTGATATCAACTTGAAGTTTCAGACTAAACTTACAATACGATTTTGATCAGTATAGAAAATTTAGGTAATTTAAAAAAATCTAATTTGCTCTTCTCATTCAAAGGAAATTCATAAAAGCCTGCCACTAGTATGTAAAGTAAGTTATTCAAATGTTGAAATGATTTCGATGTTGAAATTTTCACTGCATAAACAACACTTAACTACAAATATGTGCCATATTTGCATGCGATTTTTCTTTAATAAAGAGTGACTGAAATTTCCATAGATTTATCTGAAGTATTGAAGTATCGCAAAACGCCGAGACGTTAATTAACTAATTAATTAATGATTCAATACAAAATTAAGAAAGCTACTATCGCCTTCTGGCAGTGCCATAGGATGGTAGGTAAACAATGGGTACTTTCACCCAAGATAACACTATGGCTCTACAAAACGGTGATAAAACCCATGATCAGTTACGGCGCGATATTATGGTGGCCACGAACCAAGTTGACGACCGCAACCGACAAGCTGGACAAATTCCAAAGACTAGCCTGCATGGCGACGATTGGCTGCATGAGGACAACTCCAACTGCGGACCTCGAAGCGATGCTGGACCTGCAACCCCTCCCACTGTTCATTAGACAGGTAGCGGCGTCTACAGCAATGCGTCTATACAGAGCAGGCCTTTGGAAGCACATGAGGACCCCTCATACAGAAATTCTTTATAAGACTGTTAAAGAGGAACCGCTATTGGAGGCGGCTGTGGATAGGATCCCAAAACAATACATCTTTGACAAAAAATACAAGATACAACTATTTGAAGATCCCCACGAAGGGCTGAACCCCAGGGAGGTCCGCGTGTTCACTGATGGATCGAAAACAAATTCAGGAACAGGCACTGGGGTATTCTCAGAAGACCTCAATATCAAGTGATCCCATATGAGTATCGTATTTCGGAACAGAACAGAACACTAATAACAACAAATCGCTGATTTGTTGTTGACGAGAGTAGTACTACACAAAAATCCATTAATTGTAAGACATACCGACATACATTATTCATACATAATAATATGAATAATGTGGGTACAGAACCAGAACGTAACTTTAGTCTTTGCTTGCCTCTAAAGGAAAAGCATTTTTCCTCAAAGTGTTTGCTGCATATTTTTGAAAACTTTTTGGGAACCCAGTTTTCTCTCTTTAGCATTATAAGCCATTTCTGTCGTACTTCAATGTTTTGAGGAAATCTGAATCAACAATAATTAACATAAAAAAATAGGTGCCTCAACTACGCTATTAAAAGAAATTTTCGTTTTAATGTAGACAAAAAATAATGCACTAATGCAATATTAATTAAATATGAAGTACTAAAACCAGAAATTTCTGATTCAATATTATTAAGTATGAAGATGATTGCGGCTGTATGCAAGCCACGCCGTTGCCTTTCTTTTTTTCAGTTAATGACATCTCGATAACATATTTTATTATCGATTGCGACAATCTCTATAAAAGTGGGGTTATTTCAGAAATTCACGTATGTGATATATTTTTTAATTGTATTCGTATACATTTGGGTTATTAATGCACTTGAATGGTATAATGTTACGGACATATTTATGTTTTAAAATTTTTGTGGTAGTGCTTTTTTGGACAGCTAAAAATTTAAATAGTACTTACATGTGAAATGTACAATTCTGCGAGTTTCCTTTTTAGATGACTTACATCCGGGCACTGAACGCGTTACCATGACTAATAAACGTCCCTTTAACACTATTTCACATTTTAAAACCAATTATTTTTCAAAAATAAACGAAATTTGTTTCGTTGCCAGCTGGCCCTAGATTCACACAGGCTCATAGCGTATAATGAAGTGGTCTCGTTTACCGATCTCGCTCTAACATACGTGTATACTAACGCTATTTCACTTGCATTGCCAATCTATGGGTACGTATACACTAAATCTATGGAAATTGCTGAATTCTTAATAAATAGTAATTCTAATATCAGCACATTTTTCTTGATGTGGATTAATGTCATGATTATGAAATTAAAATCAATGCACACATTTTTGCCAAAGAGAACTTGGTCGCCATTTTTT